ATCACATCATTATTCTTGTCGATGCTATGTTTTATTATTCTGCTCTCTATACATGACACAATTGTTGTACTGTATGTTTATGAATTTTAGTGAGTATATATATATATAAATATATCTTACATAATTATATATATGCATACATGTATATGGAAGCTTTCTACACTTTAGGAAGAATATTGTACATTGTTACACTATGATTAACTACAGGTGAATCTGTAACCAATTATATGGACTGCCACAGCCTATAATTTTAGTAACCAGTTGTACTATATAATGCTATGTTAAACTATCATATCATAGTTCAGTTTCTTAATTATAAATGGTACACATTTTAATAAAAGGTTTTCTAATAGGACATCTTTAAATATGATGGGCCCTAGACGGGTGGCTCAGTTGGTTGGAGCATTGTCTGGTACACCAAAAGGTTGAAGGTTTGATTCCTGGTCAGGGCACATGCCTAGGTTGTGGATTTGATCCCCGGTCAGGGCACTTACGGGAGGCAACCAATCTGTGTTTTTCTCTCTCACATTGATGTTTCTCAATCTCTCACTCTCTTTCTCTCCTTTCCTCTGTCTCTGAAAAATCAGTATAAACATGTCCTCCGATGAGGATTAAAAATAATAAGTAGCCCTGGTGAGTTTGCCTCAGTAGTTAGAGTGTCGGCTCGTGTACCAGAGACACCTGGGTTTGGTTCCTGCCAAGGGCACATACCTCAGTTGCAGTTTGTCCCCAGCCCTGGTTGGGGTTATGTGGATGGCAGCCAGTTGATGTGTCTCTCTCATATCGATATTTCTCTCTCTCTCTTCCTTCCTCTCTCCCTCCTGCTCTAGCTGAAGATAAATGCAAAAATGTCCTTGGGTGAGGATAAAAAAAATAATAATAATAAATGATTGTTATCACTCATATTAATGATATTGATCATATTAATATTGCACATGGAAATCTTCAGATTTTTACAGTGGCAGGATAATACAGAATATCTTATTACTCCTTGCTCTCTGCAGTCATGAGGATACTCCTACATAGCCTTACACCATAGTGGTGCACATGGTCACCCTTCTGTTAGTTAGTAGCACTGTTCTTACTACCACTACTACTTGTTACTTGATTAAATGTTTATTGAGGGTCTGCTCTGAGACAGACAATCATGTTGGAGATGAGAATACAGCAATTAAAAATATAGACAAAATCCCTGCCTTCTTTGTGTTTATATTCTCCTGGGAGAGACAGACAATAGACAAAATCAATAGTAATAACTGCTATGGAAGAATATGAAGCAGGGAAAAGGGTAGGATCGACAGGTGTGAAAGTTAGAACTGTAAACAGGGAAGTCAGGGAGGGCAGCTGAAGAAGGAAGGACCTGAAGCAGGTGAGGGAGAAAGGCACACGGATGTCGGGGTGTGTGTGTGGCGGGGAGTAACCCAGACAGAGGGAATGACAAGTGTAAAGGCCCTGGGGCAGGTGCCCACCTAGCATAATTGAAGAGCCAGAAGATAGTATAGCTTGAGTAGAAGGAGAGGGAGCATATAATGAGAATTGATGGGGAGAGAGGGTGGACTATGTAAGACCCTGCAGGTCATAATAAAATTAAATTTAGTTATATCCTATCTTTTCCAAAAAGCCTTTAAAAATAACAAGCCTCTCATTTGTTGCTCTGTTGCCTAGCACTTTATTAAAATACTGCTTTTCTAGTACTTGATGCTATTTACGATGGTAGCAGCAAGGTTACAATGGCAGATAGTTGAAAAACCATGCATGATTCTCTCCAAATTAAATAGTGTTTTTACTGCTATGTTATTTTATGCTGCAGTGCAGCTTACTATTTTCATCCTCCTAGATCAACCAGTACTATCTAGATTTTACCATTAACAACACATATGACATCATTTTCAATACTAAAAACAATAATGCTAGTTAGAGTGCTGGTATTTTATATTCTGCCATTAGCTGTTATTTCAGTAATTGTACATCCTGCCCTATATTCTTCTACCAATGAATACAATCTATATTAGTAACAATATTTCCATTCAGCAGTACCATTTAAAACTATGTACAATGCTTCCTAAAATGTAGACAATGACATTCAGAGGACATTTCTTTCATCATTAACCTATGCATTGGGAGGGCAGCAAGGATGGCCCAAGTTTTAAGAAGAGTGAAGTAAGTTTGAAATATTTGTTGGGGGTAGTGGGATAGAATCTGACTCAGGGGAGAATATGTTTCTGGACTGGGCTGAGGACCAATGACTGAGATTTTTATGGGTCTCGCACTGGTCTATGCAGGTGGGCTCGGCAGTCCAGGTAACCATTACACTGCATTGTGGATTGCGGGTTCCGAGCTAGATTAAGGGAGAAGTGAAGAGAGAGCAGAGCGCATGGACAGTAGACTGGCCGGGGGTGGGGGAGAGGTGAGCTGACAGGCTTGTACTGGAGAGCAGGGAGCCCAGCAGCTTGGGGAAGTGACCATCATATCAGTGGATGGGACATGCTGAGATGTACCATTACAAGGTTGTTGCTCATTCATTCATTCATTCATTCATTCATTCATTCATTCATTCAGTATTTGATTGGCTGAGAAACCAGACTTTGGAGCCCAATTGCCTGGGTTCAAATTCCAGTTCTGCCACTTTCCAACTGTGTGACCTTGGGAAAGTGACTTCCTCTCCTTGTGTCCTTGTTTCTTCACCTGCAATCACACCCGCTCCCCAGGTGTATTGTGAGGATCCCAAGGGTTAATTAGACAAGCAAGTATTTTAAACAGCACCAGGCAGAGTCAGATCTCAGTGCGCATTCATTGCTGGGCTTGTGATTGGTGGTGGTGGTTTGTTGTTCTGTGCCAGACACTGCTCTGGGAGCTGGAGACAGAGCCACAAACAAGGTCAGAAAAGTCCTCGACTGCACGGAGCTACAATACGGTGGGAGAAACGGATCATGCAGATGTAAAGAAAGCAGAAAGTGGGTGCGCTTGGCTGTGGGAGGGCTCTTCCCGGGGTGTCTCTGCGGAAGGGATATGAGAGCCCAGCCTGGAAGGTAAGGGAACAGCCACGGAAAGAGCAGGACATGTGCCTTGCGGGCAGAGGGCACAGGAAGAGCAAATGCCCTGGGCTTTCAAAGGCTGAAGGCGGCCAGCAGAGTGCCCTGAGTGTGGGACAGTGAGTGGCTCGGACAGGGCCAGAAATGGGGGCAGAGCCCAGAGCTGAGACCCTGTGTGGCCCACAGGCCAGTGGTTCTCAAACTTGGCTCCATATCAGCACCGTGGGGAGACTGTTGAAAGCTCCCAGGCTCCTCAAATGCCCAGGAGAGTTTGAGAACCACTTCTGCAGAGGATGATGAGGGGTCTATTTTCCAACTGTAGTGAGCAAAGGGATGCTCTGATATTGGTCTTAGAGAGAGCGCTCTGGCTGCGGCTGAGGCAGGGCCCCTGGAGAGGGCAGTGGCTGGGGGCGGGGCAGTGAGGGTGCAGTGCGAGGGGCGGGAATGGCTGGGATGAGGGCGGCGAGGGGCGGGCAGAAGTGGGGAGCAGAGCACCTGAGACTCGCTGAGTGGTGGGCTGAGGAGATTGGTGGGCTTTGGTTTGAGTAGCTGTCAGTGAGAAGTATGCTGGAGAGGGATCAGGACTCCTGCTTTGGACACAGTTCTCTGGAGACAAGTGGGTATCTGAGTAGATGAACGAGGGGTGAGTTGGTTGAAGCCACTGAGCAAACAGAGAATCTGAGGTCTGGGTGGGCGGGTCCCTCACGTGAAGGTGACGGCCCACAGGGCCATGGTCAATAGTGTGACTCAACCATGCTGTCCCTATGTCTCCAACAATATCCTCAGAATGACGCCACTCCACTCTTTAGAATGCGACAGGGAAATTATGAATGTTTATATTGCACATATTTGACATCATTAACTGGAAATTATGGGCATTACAAAGTAATATGCTTAACCTGCTGTTGGCAGTTCTTTAGAGTTTTAATGGAGAACGATGGGTCATGTGACATTATTTTTGTAAAAACATTACATTATAATCAGTTAGTGTAAATACCACTCATTTTTGGTATTTGCGTGAGCAACAAATGAATCCATTCCTTGGTGCAGAGAAGCGAACCATATTAATGACCACGATAGTCACAATATGAGGGCCATTGTCAATGCACTTTGTGACAAGTGACAGTACGTAGTGTGATGTTGTTAACACTGGGGCATAGTAACTTCCAGAAGCACAAGGCAGTACTGGTATTCCTATAAATATTGGACTCATTTTAGTATAAAGTAGTATGATAACATCTATTTTTCTAAAATATCAAAAGCAGAATGTGGTTTTTTTTTGTGTTTTTTTTTTAAAGGATTTAAGTGGTGTTCTGCACATGGCTGTTAGATGTCTGTCCTATAAAGCAAGGCATTGTCGACTCTACCTAGGCACGGAAATTAGTTCACTTTATTTGGTAACCATGATACAATGGAATCTGCTTTCCTTGGTCCGGGAACCAGTGTTTTAGGAATGCTTACAGGTCTGGGTAGTTTCACATCTTGTAATATTTGAGATCTAATTTCATCTCTTGTTTATGGGAAAAGCCAGAAGCCAAATGCTCAAGCAATAAGCTTGAGAGTCATTTGTAGTCATTGTTCCTTTCCTTCTTCAAGTCTTCTCACAATGAATTCCTAGGATTTATGACTTCTTTATTTCCACTGCCAAATAGTTCCAAACTTGAATATTATGGGAGCGTGTGTTCTCATCCATATTATGATTTCTATTGAAGTTTAGTTCAATAAAATTCAGGATTCTATGTAATAAATTTTCCCATGTAGATGATATTTTTATTTCCTTCTGTAAATATTTTTATAACTGAGATTGGAGCATCAAAATAATTGTTAAATATTTGCCTGGAATCTGCTTTAGAGCAAAGTCTCTGCCAACAGTCATCCTTTCCTGGTGTCTGGAATGGTTAAGTTTGTCATGCACTTTTCAGTCTGTATCCTCAGCAATAAAGTGATGATAAAACCCAAACAAGAAGGTTATGATTTTAATATACTTTATTTAAAAAGTACACAGTTTTAAATTGGTTCCGATGGGTTTCACGCAGAAGGGACACTGCCCATGGGCAGTCCCGTTTCTGATGAAGGGTGGTTACCATGTAGCAAACTCACATTTACATGACTGGCAAAGTAAAAAGATAACATTTTTTGTCAACAGGTCTTTGAGTTTATATCACGCACAGTTTAAAATCATGAGATGCTGATGGTTGGACTATATTTCATGTCTCCTATGTCGCACCATAGTTTGGTTCACAGTTGATCCATAATTGAGCATGCCAAGAGAACATCCCGGTCAGTGTCACCTTAAGAAGAGCAGCAGAAGCAGAGGAAACAGGATAAGGACCATCTTGGCCTGGAGACTCGGTGCACCCCCACATTCTCTCGCATTCTCCTGCAGGGCAAGGCGGGGTTGGTCAGAGCAGTGTCCGAGTCCAAGATGCCTTCACCTGGGCAAGCTATTCTGAGTCCTAGACCCCTCCCCACTCCTCAATTGCATGAACAAAGTCTTTGGGGACCTCGATAACTCAGGGAGATGAACCTGTCTAAATGTCATCAAGTCAGCGATGAGAATCTCTGATCTCAGTTGTAAATGTGTAACATATTCAAAATCACTCTTTGCATACTCTTAGGTAGAACAGTCCAGAGGTAAAGGGCTATTATTCATTGGTACAGATGTTTGTTGGGATCATATTGTAAAAGCAAAATATTGGCTTTCTAGTTTTTTTTCCCTGTCAGAATGTAAGTTAAAAAAAAAACAAATCACATCTAAGGGGGCTGATCATTTTTGGCTATGAAAGGTTTTGTTTCATCTTTCTTTTCATTTGGGGGAAGGAAGGCTCTGTTTTACAAAAATGGAATAATATCATTTATTACTTTCAGCAGGATGCTTTTTATCCGTGGACTGATATAAGTTTCTCCTACACCGTTATTCTAGCTCTGTTTCACTCGGCTCTTTTCTTATTGATGGGCATTTGTTTTCTCATCCGCTCTCTACTGCTACAAAGAATGCTGAGAGTGGGTCCTTACCAGGCAATGGCCTTTGCCCCTGTGCCTGGCAGAGATGCCCAGTCTTGGGACTATAGACCTAAATGGTATTTCTGCTTTTGATGGCGATAGCTGGATATTTTACTGTTACCTGCATATCCTGATCACCCAGTGACTTGTATCTTTCACGTTCACGGTTTATTTTTATATGCAGTTGTTTGACTTACCAATTTGAAAGCGCTCTTTATCATTTGATTTATAAATACTTTTTTCAAGTTCTATAAATTGGCTGCTGACTTTAAGTAATCTTTTTCCAGAGAAAAGTTACGATTTTTACAGAGTTAAATACATTTGTTTTTCTTCCATAGCTTTCTTGTCTTAGATAGGAAGTTCTCCCCAATCCCTAGGATTTCTTGTGAGACTGTTATTTTACTATTTAAGTCTAATTTATATTCTTCCTTTTGAATTGAACCTTTGTCATATGTAAGAGTTTCTATTCTGTTCCACTGACCTCATCTTACTACATCCAGAAACTTACAGGAGAAAAAAATCTGATTTTTCAAAATGTTCGTCTTGTATCAAGTTACCAAAGCAAATCATATTAGCTCGAGAAGATTTTACTCTCATGCCTTTAGTTGTCTAAGAATGCAGCTCTGGTTTTGACTGAAGCAATCTTAGTGTTTTGAGGGCTATTGTTTGTGTTTGCATTTTACATAGAGCTTTTATTAGGGGTGATCATCAAATTTTATCAAAGGTTTTTTTCAGCATATATATGTATACTATGTTACTATTGAACTTGAACTCCCATTTGAATATAGAAGCAAATCTTCTCAATAAAGTCCAAGTTCTTTTGGTGCTATACTGACATTACAACCTTTTCTAAGACTTAGTTTAAATAACATTAAAATCACATGCCATTTCAAGATGAGATTAATACTCAGCTACCTCTGGTAGAATAAAAAAAAAGATAGCTTCCCAGTTTCCCTATAGTAAGTAGTCTAGACAAACTTTCCATTTGTTCAGGGTGGGTGTGAACTTAATTTAAAAAAATATATTTTTTTGTTATACTTAAAATTTTCACTCATAGTACTGCAGGAAGTATTCTCTTAAACTTTACCTAAATCTATTCCAAACTCACCTTTCTTGACACTCAGCTCGACTTCACTGTGACTGAGGCTGTCCGTGTGAACGGGGCGCCGCTATGGTTGTGACTGATGTGCTTTGGGGTTTGGCGGCGGGGCGCCCCCTGCACACACCGCACCCTCTAGCTGACATGCATGCAGATTGCCACTTTCGCTTCACCTGAATTCCTTGCAAATAAAAGGCTGTCTGAACGTAAGCAGGGGAGATCATTTCCACCACAATTTGAAATAAGTCAAGTAAGATGATCAGAGCTACTTCGTGTGAATCGCGGAAGGTGAGGACAGGACACCACATCCTCAGTCGCAAAGACAGCGAAGAGGCTTTTTGACCGTCATGTGCACAGAACAGACTGTTAGCACGGGCTGAGAGGGCACTGAGGGATGGGGGGCAGGGAACGGTCTGCCTTCCTGGACATTCTCCTCTGATGCTCCCGAAAGGCTCTGTTTCCCCACGAGCCACCTGTTCAGCTACAGCGAGTCTCCTGGCAACGCTGGCGGGGAAGGAGGACGGAAGGGTTTGCAGACTGACCTCAGGATGGAAGCCGTGACAAGACTCCGGGCGCCTGCGGATCTTCTGGGCCTTTAAACGTTCACACTTAAGAGATTCGTTATGTTGACTGTAGTTAAGGCGTATTTCCGAAACATTGCTTTCCCCCACTGGGCACTGGCCCTAAAAGTTAACCCTAAACTCCCTGGATCATTCTTTCTCTCCGACAACGGACAGATGCCAGTTTCCCCTCCCCCCTATTTCTCGCCCAGGTATCCCGACCGTTGATCGCCTACAGCTTCAGCAGCACTGGACCTATGCACAAAAGGATATACCTGATTTCAATGGGCGCCATGGTGATGGGCGCCACGGATTCGCAGAGGCAGCTGCTGTCCACCACCACCATGAACAGATTGCTGCTGGGGATTTGCTGGATGACAAAGGACCTGTGGAACAAGAGGCACAGACGCAGTGAGGGGTCCTTTACCATTCCTCAAGTAAAGAGCCACGAGGAAAACGTTTCCCCCGGGAGGTAGCTAACACAATTTGGAAATCAAGCTTCAGAGACTATTTACTGCTCAAGTTGCCTTTTTCCATAAAGGTTCTTCACTTTCAAATACCAAGTTTCACTAAAAAGTCAATAGCTTATAACCTATAGCTACAGCCTTACATGGCTCATAAAACTCACCCTGGGAAGACTGGTCTTTTATATGTACAAAGCAATAGAGTCAAATTTGGCTAATTCGCCTCAATTTCTAAGGTTTAAGAGGTTAGGCTTTTTCAAGCCTCATTTTCTTCCCAAATGTTATCAAAAGTTGCATTTGATGTTCTTCTAAGTGGATTTTTCTCTCTTCCTTTCCTCAAAGATAGACTGAAGCTATATCACACTGATGACAAAAGATGAAGTGAACCTTCTAAACCCTCCCCTGTGCTGCTCTGCATGATGTCTGCCGTAATAGAGAATATTAATGCTAGCCCTTTAACAAGCTCCATCCTTCTCAGAGTCCAAATTGTGCCGGTGCTGATTCTGTACAGCAGCTCTGACATTCTGGGTCCATCAGTACAGCTTGATGACATCTGCCTCTTCCATTACCCAGCACAGTGAAGCACCACCACGGAACTATTTCTTTAATGAGAAATGCTACTGAGTTTTTGGAGGAACAAATTAGAGACCAAAACCCCATATTCTTTCAGAGCTAACAGATTAGGTAGATATTCAGCCCAGGCCTAGAACCCCTGTCATATAACTTCTTACGATATTTCATCAAATTCAATCCCATTGGATGAAAGGGACTATAATCTAACAGAATGTTCAATTTCTCCATATATTTTATCTTCATTCATCGTTGTCTCAGCGAATTGGTTCTGTTCTCTAGAGTGTGTCACCGTGCTTTGCAAGAATCACCCAATCGAAGAAGCATCCCTCTGCTTTGTGGGAAACTAGAAAGAAGGGGAAAGGACCCCTTTTTATTTCTACCTGCTGCCACTTCATGTGCTGAATTACCCAGGAATGCCCTGCGATTACAACCCAGCAGGCTTCCATCCCACGAATGCACAGTGCCCGTTCATCGAACACGATACAATTAGTTAAGGTTATTTTTTCATCCACGGCCAGGAACAGGACATGCCACTGCTCAGTGATGTTCCCCCAATGCCTAAACCACCATCACCCACCCTTCTCCACAACTACTCCTGGCTTGAGAAAAAAATGCCACCTTGCTAACTGTCTCCGTAAAACTTTGAACATCTCTGCTTTACATCCCCCTTTTGATGCTAAGTGTCTTCTCACCTGTGCAAGGACATGAGCCGTTGGCCTCTCTGCTGGATCAGGTCTATCATAATCAAAACAACCTACCTGAGATGGCCCTCTTCAGAGAGCCATGATTTCCACGTTGGGGGAAAATTAACAGAGTCTCAGAATAATGCAAAACCAAGATTACACAACTCTTGAAGGAACCAATGGTTGGCTTGAAAATTAAGCCAAATGAATCTACCAGATGTACAATAAAGGAGAAAGAGATAAAAATATGAAATAGAGTTCCAAAGGGAGAGAATATTTTCCAATTGGTGAAAAATTATATTTTTTTCCATTAAAAAGGGCCCATTCAAGCATGAATGAAACTTCAGATCATTAAAGATATAGACCAATCCTAAAACCTCCTTTAGAAACAAATTACTTAAAGAGGAATGAAGAGGACACCAACTTCTCAATGGGAATACTTAAAATGAAGAAAACAGAGCAACATAGAGGAAGTAAAATGTATGTCGGGTCCAGAGGAAAATTGATTCTCGGTAACTGTAGGTAATGATAGAAAATTATGCTTTAAAATTTAGGGATAATAGCTAAATAGCATAGTAACTAATGCACGCACAGAAAAACGGACAATATAAGTCTAAAATGACCAATCACAATAAATGTGAGGTGATTAGATTTACATATTAAAAGGCAGAGACTTTGAAATGGCATTTGCAAAATATTAGCTTTATGATGCTTGCAACCTAAACCCCTAAAATAGAATAACATGGAAAAGATGTCAAATGATAGGAAAAGATTTACCAGAAAAATACTAACAACACAAGAGAGGAACAGATACAGCTTAATGTTATTATGCAAATATTCATAGGGGGAATTATTAAAATGTAATAAAGAAAACAGTTCATATAATCTGAATAATGTTTCATATTAACATGGTATAACAAGGGATGACATGAACTTTTATGATCACAGTGTGCAAACTGACAGACATACTGAAATGATTGATGAATGCATGATCTATTAAAATATGGAGCAAAACCTCTTGAGATCTAAACCATGTAGAATGTAAGTTATTCTCTCTTTTTTTAAATTAAATTTATTTATATATTTATTTTTGTTACAGATGTCACTCCTTTCCCGCCTTTGAGATCCTCTTTGCAGCTCCTGTCTCCGCCCCCTTCACTGTATTGTTGTCTGTGGCCATTGGTTGTGCACATATGCATATTAGTTCTTTGGTTTATCTCTTCCCACCCTCCCACCCACCCTCCCTCTGAGGTTTGTCTGTCTGTTTCCTACTTCCATGTCTTTGGATCTATTTAGGAGAGTATTAGGCAAAGTGAAATAAGCCAGTCAGAGAAAGACAAATATCATATGATCTCACTTATTTATGGAATATAATGAACAAAATAAGTTTTCTTTTTATTTAAATATATTGGGGTGACATTGGTTAAGATTATATAGGTTTCAAGTGTGCATTTCTGTGATACGTGATCTGTGTACTGCACTGTGTGCCCACCACCCAAAGTCAAACCATCTTCCATCACCATATGTTTGGCCCCGTAAGTTATTTTCAAACACTGGAAACTGCAACACACTCCCAAGAGCAGAGAGCATCACTTACATGTTCCGCTCTACGGTCGGGTAAAATGAGAAATGAATAGCAAATGATATAAGCAGTAATAATTAAAGATTAGAAAACAAGCAATTAATCCTTGAGAATTTGAGAACAACCCCGTCTCACATCTGTGCAGTATATGACCTTAACTACTTTTATGAGGGAAAGAAGTTTGCAAATAAGTGAGCTAAATTTTTGAATCGAGAGGCTAGAAAAATAAAACCATAAGCTGCACCTGTGCCCTCTCTGTGGTCTTCCCTCTGGGGCCCTGGGCTGGGTACTGATGCCCCTCCCCAAGGCCAGCTCTCAGGCAGGACGTGACTGATGACAGCGAAGAGAGGTGAGCACCGCGCAGAGTCCCCTCCGGCTACTAGGCGTGCCCTTCCGGTTACAAACATGCCCTGTCTCCCACCTCAGAAAAACAGAACTTTCCTTTAACCTTACCTCTAGCTACTGCCCTGTTTCTCTGTCCTCCTTCATTGTAAATCTTCTAAAAAGAATAATTCACCATCTCTCTGTCTACTTTCTCATTTCTCTCCTCCTTTCACAAATCCAGTCGGACAAGGCTGGAGCCCGCACCACACCACCGAATCCGTTCTCCTCAATCTCCTGTACCTCTGCTGCTCCTCCCCTGCTCGCCGTCTGCCCGCACCCACGGTGGTTCCCTAGGTGGCAGGCTGCTCTGTCTGCCCGGGGTTACCCGTTATCCCACACCTACAGTTGTGCCTGGGACACCGCAGGGTCCCAGTCAACATTTACGGAGTCGATGACAGGGTAAATTTATAAAGATAAAAGCAGAAGAATAAAATGGAAATGAAAGTGTGAAGATAAGTAAAAGAACCAAACTCGGGTTTAAAGGAACATGGACATAAATCAACTTTTGGCATTTCTGATCAAGAAAGATATCACAAAGTCATATTAAAACTCCAAAGACACAGAGACATTTAACACATTTTAAGTGACTATTATGTATATTATCGTAAACAATTTGAAAACTTAGAGTAAACACACCTCTGGGGATAAAGTGTAAATGATCAACATTTGTCCAAGCTATAAAAAACCCAAGCAGCCCTGGCCAGTTTGGCTCAGCGGTTGAGTGTCAGCCTGTGGACTAGAGAGTCCTGGGTTCGGTTCCTGCTAGGTTCACGTACCACAAAACAAACAAAGAAACAAAAAAACCACAAGCAGACCAATAACCATAAAAAAACTGAAATGCTCATTGAAAATCTACCCCCAAGTGAATCCAACCAAATCACCCAGAGAACAGATATTACTGTGTTCCTAGAAAACCCATGTGAACCCGCTGACCAACTATTGGAACTAATAAAAGAACTCAGCAAGCTGACCAATTACATAATCAGAATATAAAAACACCCCTTCCCTGACACTGGCAATACCCAATGAAGAAAATATTTATGAGATAAAGAACCACTGATTGTATCAATAATCACTATGAAATGCCAAGATTTCCTTTATGAAGACAATGACCAAACTTGACTGAACAGAAAAAGACAAACGAACAATTGGAGAGAAGTACAAAGGCTGTGGGACAAACCATATAAATATATGGTTTTCATATTTAATATATTTCGCTAAAAATTAGAGAAACATAAATTAAAATAATAAAATGCACCGTTCACCAGCAGAATGGCAGAATTTCAAATCTGTCTTCCCGTCACACTGGAGGGTTTCAAGAAGTGATTATTTGACATCGCTGGTGGGAAAGTGAATTTTTACAGCCATTTGTTATTATTACAATGGAAATCCCTTAGATCCTATTTTTTCAGTAATTTTATTTCTCAGTAAGAAAAACTCTTGTCTAGGACCCCAGAAAGCCATTTAGAAAGATGTGCTTAGTAGTATCGTTCGCTGAGAGGAGAAAAAGTACAAACCCACCTGAATATCCATCACCAGGGAGGTCATGGAGAAGCAACAGTATGCGATTCTATGGTCTACTGGGCACCAGATAAAAGGGTGAAGAAATCTCTATTTACTGTTAGGAAAGGATATCCAAAACATAGCAAATAGAAAAATTATGTTGCAAAATTATAAATAAGGTATGAATATTTAAGCAT